CTGAATCTAAAATTAATTCTAACTCTAATTCCAATACAAATTCAAGTTCAAACTCTATTCCTAATTCAGATTCAGATTCAAATTCAACATCGAATTCAAACTCAAATTCAAATAAAAAATCTAAATCTAATTCTAATTCAAGTTCGAACTTAAAATCTAAATCAACTTCAAGAGTCAATGCAATCTCTTCGAACTCAAATTCTATTTCAAACTCAAATTCTATTTTTAACTTAATATATTAAATAAAACTCAATCAAAATCCTAGCTTAAACTCAAATTTAAAGGAGGAATCAACTTCAAGATCCAATACAATTCTTTCGAACTCAGCATCAAATGAAACTTCTTGTGAAGAGACAGCCAGAAATTCTCGGTATAATAAAATAATAGAACATATCAACCTCGATCATTTAAATAACGAAGAACGCATGGCTGTTGAAGAATCGATAAAACGAAATGCGGATTGCTTTTATTTACCAAAAGAATCCCTTGGATTCACGAACGTCTTACAACATCGCATTCATACAAATGATGATGTTCCAATACACACAAGTCAATATCGATTTCCTCCAGCACATAAAGTAGAAATCGATCGTCAAGTAAAGGAATTACTAGATCAGAGTATTATAAAACCATCAGAATCCCCATATAATACTCCTGTTTGGATTGTTACCAAAAAGGCCGATTCAAACGGTAACAAACAATGGAAAATGGTGTTAGAATTCCGCTCGTTAAATGAAAAAAAACATAGGCGACGCATATCCACTTCCCAATATAACGGACATTCTCGACCAATTAGGAGGCGCTAAATACTTCTCAGTTTTCGACTTGGCTTCTGGCTTTCACCAGATTAGGATGCACCCGGACGACAGCCATAAAACAGCTTTTTCAACTCCTCATGGCCATTATGAATTCGACCGCATGCCATTTGGCCTAAAAAATGCTCCGGCCACTTTTCAAAGACTAATGGATAGGATATTAACTGGGATGCAAGGAACGGAAATATTCGTCTATCTAGACGATATCGTACTGTACATATGCAAGTTCACTAAGAGAACACGAAATTAAATTTCAAAAATTAATGAACAAATTACGTGAAGCGAATCTAAAATTGCAACCGGAAAAATGTGAATTTCTTCGAAAGGAAGTTTCTTACCTAGGACATGTGATAAACGAAAACGGAGTACATCCCGATCCAAGGAAGATAGAAGCGGTAAAAAATTTCCCAACACCTAAAAACCCAAAGAATATAAAACAATTCCTCGGGTTAGCGGGTTACTATCGCAGATTCATAGAAGGCTTCTCTAACATTGCGAAATCTCTGACAAATTTATTAAAAAACGAAACGGAATTTAAATGGAATCAAAAGGAACAAGATTCTTTCAACACGCTAAAAAATATGTTATGTAAGGAACCAGTGTTACAATATCCCGATCCTTCCAAACCATTCATCGTAACAGATGCATCAGGAGTAGCCATAGGCGCTACCTTAAGTCAAGGACCAATAGGAAAGGACCGCCCTATAAGTTACGCTTCTCGTGTATTAAATGATGCTGAAAAAAACTATTCCACGATAGAAAAGGAACTATTAGCAATAGTCTACGCAGTAAAACACTTCCGACCTTACCTTTATGGAACAAAATTTTTTTTGGTTACCGATCACAAACCTTTAACCTGGCTTTACAAAGCAAAGGACCCTACCTCACGACTAGCACGATGGAAAATTAAATTAGCTGAGTATGAATACGAAATCGTCTACAAAGCCGGAAAAACCAATGTAAACGCTGACGCATTATCAAGAAATCCTACACAAGTATGTATGATATCACCCTTATTTGACGAAATCGAAGAATGTTCGGAAGACGAAGAATCACGTATTAGAAACGCAAATCCACGACCCCTCCCATCATCACCTCGAAGAGGATCAATGAGAGAGGAACCAGAACCTGAGTGCGGATCAAGAATGCAAACTCGAAGAGCAACCTCAATGGAAGGAGAAAGCGTACCATTCACTCGAGAAGAATTACAAGAGCCACTTCACGCAACATATTGTAGAAGCAGAAATACACCAGGAACCAAAGGCAGAAAACCTGAGTAACACAAATATCCTCCCCCCACCCCCTCCCTCCTAAAAAGAAAAACCTGTACCACCTCCAAAAAATACCAAAATAATTCCAACTATTAATAAAAAGGCAACGTGCGAAAAATGTTTCATAACAATTAAGCACTATACAGTAAATGATCTCAAAAAGCATTTAAAACGTCGCCACAAGTAAGTATACTCAAAGTAAATTAAAAATTAATTAACATACTAGAAGAATATAAAATTAATAGCAGTAGACTGATCAATATCAACTCAAAAAAATGTAACGCAAGCAAGTATACTCAAATCAAACTAAAAAAATTTGTTAAACAAACTATAACAATTATTGAAAATAAATTTCAATAAATTTTAAAAATATGATGTCAAACATGATTTGAATTTTGAAAAATTATAAAAAATCTAGTATAAAATTTTTATACTAGAAATCATGTGTTGTGGAACATAATTCTTAATATTAAAATTCATGGTTCTGTGTTCTCTATTTTTTTGTATGCGCGCAGAATCATTACGCAGATATTAAATATATTTGATTAAAATTTCTAATTTGTGTGTTTGTTATTTCAACAAATTTTGAATATTTTTTTCAGTTTACGTTTATAATTTTTAAAAATTCAAATCATATTTGACATCAAATTTTTTGAATTTATTCAATAATTGTTATAGTTTGTTTAATAAACTTTTTTAGTTTGATTTGAGTATACTTGCGTTACATTTTTTTGAGTTGATATTTATCAGTCTACTGCTATTAATTTTATATTCTTCAGTATGTTAATTAATTTTTTAATTTACTTTGAGTATGCTTATTTGTGGTGATGTTCTAAATGACTTTTGAGATTAGTTGTTGTATAGTACTTAAAATTACTTGTAAAGAAATATTTTTTGCATGTTGCTTTTTTATCGCTTTTTGCGATAAAATAATCCCAAATCCAATGAAATTTGTTCTTTTTTCTCATTTTCTGTTAATTTCTCTGGATGTCTCTCCATCAAGTGTTGATGGAACGTACATAAAGTATTCTTAGACGTAATTACATGTGAATTACTATGATTACATTTTGCTTTATTACTTCTTGTTAATTTTGTGTAATGTCCACGTATCCAAAGACGACATGGGATAAAATTGTCTGGTGCTAGTTACATTCTCATTTGCAGTCACGTCATTATCTGAACTGCTCTCGTTATTTACACAATCTGTATTTGGACTCAATATCCTACATTTACATAAGAAGTTATTAAAAGGTACAGTAAAGCTATTATTATCAATTATGTTTATCCTCCGCTACGGATTAAATTATAATTTGTTAGAATCTATTATTTAAACACTTAGGAGTGATCAAGAATGTAGCGATCAAGCATATTTATATATTATGTAAATCTTATAATTATTGAGTAAAAATTAGAATGTTCCAATATTACTAATTTTTTATATACACATTGATTATAAATGCGAAACATAGAAATTGATTTGTATTGAATGAGTGTAATATAAATAAATGCTGATTAATTTTATAAGGAATTGCGTAATCAAAGAAATAGAGATTAAGAAACAGAAAACAGAAATTTCAAACTTTAGAAATCATATATGTTGTGGAACATAATTCTTAATATATTAAAATTCATGGTTCTGTGTTCTCTATTTTTTTGTATGCGCGCAGTATCATTACGCATATATTAAATATTTGATTAAAATTTCTAATTTGTGTTTGTTATTTCAACAAATTTTGAATATTTTTTTCACTGTACGTTTATAATTTTTAAAAATTCAAATCATATTTGACATCAAATTTTTTGAATTTATTCAATAATTGTTATAGTTTGTTTAATAAATTTTTTTAGTTTAATTTGAATATACTTGCGTTACATTTTTTTGAGTTGATATTGATCAGTCTACTGCTATTAATTTTATATTCTTCAGTATGTTAATTAATTTTTTAATTTACTTTGAGTATGCTTATTTGTGGTGATGTTCTAAATGACTTTTGAGATTAGTTGTTGTATAGTACTTACTTGTAAAGAAATATTTTTTGCATGTTGCTTTTTTATCGCTTTTTGCGATAAAATAATCCCAAATCCAATGAAATTTGTTCTTTTTTCTCATTTTCTGTTAATTTCTCTGGATGTCTCTCCATCAAGTGTTGATGGAACGTACATAAAGTATTCTTAGACGTAATTACATGTGAATTACTATGATTACATTTTGCTTCATTACTACTTGTTAATTTTGTGTAATGTCCACGTATCCATCGACAAACTAAGATTAGAATGTGCTCTGCTTCTTGTTCTGCCGTCATAGCGTCTTGGACGAATATTAGTAACTAATCACAAAGGAGAGACAATACAAATATGTGTACATATATATATATATATATATACACACATTCGTTTCATTTTTTCGTAAAAAAAATTGATATGTGTAATATGTTGTACCCTCTTTGAACATATAGAGGTAATTTCACATTGCTGTATTGGGGAAAATATCAACAGGAATGAGCGTGAGGTTCTCCTTCCTGGCTTACCCTGACATCAACGGAAATGATCGGAAATAACAGAAATAACGCTATTGCTTGAACGTGCCTCGACAGTGTCTCGGCACTCTTGGTCTCGAGACCGATCGTCATGGATATGACACTCACGCGCGATCACAATCCACACATATGTGCACACGCATTCACGCATGCAGGCAGGCAGGTACACACGCACGCACGCACACATTAACGGTGCGAACGTATATAGCGAAATCGTAAGAACGACGCGTTTACCTTGCGAGCAGGACGATCGCGTTATGCTAATAAGCCGCGTCGCACTCGCTCGGATTTTCAGCCGGACGCTAATTAACAATGAGCGTAATAGAGACAGTGAAGTACGCGAAACCACGAGTATCACGAACGAACTGGTACGGCCGCCATTACTCTTACATGGCATGGACTCGCTCAATTTCTTTTTCCGAGCGAAAGTTGCCGACGATCTATGAGGAAAATCAGGGAAACGACGCGACAACGGGGATCACAATCGTACTTACGTGCGATGTATGTCCTGCAATGTCGCGGGAACCCTCGATGTTGTTCGCATCAGGAACTAATTGGATTCTGGCTCGCTCATAAAGGCCTAGCTCGACCGAATGCCGTGGAAGCCACTAACCATTAGCACGTCGTTTCTGCGTGACGTAACGTCTTCTCGACGTCGGTGTCACGTTGCGAGATTGCCTCGACAATTCCAATTCCACGTCGTCACTAGGACATCTCTGTTCGCGCGGTGTAGCCGGTGAAATAGGTGACATGTTGTCCTTGAGTGGCAATGGTGGTGATTCGGACCAATTAACAGAAGCGATAATTGATTGTTTTTCACGACTTGGACTTGAACCAATTTCCTCAGCAATACCGTGATGCGGGCTTAAGCTATGAGAATGTCTCTTAGATTTCCTCTTCTTCTTTTTCCCTGAATTTGACGAAGGGCTCAGACTTCTTTTCTTCTTCTTCTCACGTTTATGCTTCTTTTCTTTTCGTCGAGCGTATCGCCTTGATTCTTCTTCGTACTCTGGTGTCGCACCATGCATCGTCGTCGATTGTTGTTGCTCATTCGACAAGGAATATCGCATATCGGAATGTCGATGCTGAACCGATGGTGTTGGAGATATGCTGATAGGCGACGCTCCAAGAGCACGAATTGGGCTATTGCCATAATATCGCCTTTGAAGAAATGACGAATCAGGTACTTCTCCGTCCGTGTAACTGTTGGCACGACTATCTTCCGATTGTATCTCTCCCGCTTCAGGCTCTGAAAGATCTTCGCTACTTACGTCGGAATACTCGACCAATGGTTTTACAACAGATGAAGCTACAGTTGGAATTGTCTCTAATGACTTATCTCGTGAACGTTTCTTCTTTTTTTTTCCAGAACTCTTACTTTTGCCATGTCTCCTGTGTCGCTTGTCAATACCATCAAAGCTGTGGCGATTCACGTCGCTGCTCGTACTGCCTCTTCTTCGTGAACGAAATCTCCCATTACGTTCTGCCCGTTCAATTTCACGAGTGCTAGGCATGTCACCTCCTATATAAATAAAGCAAATATTTCAATAAAATTATATACATATACACATATATATATACATATACACACACATATATATATATATATCTATATATATACAGACACATAATATATTAATTATAAAAGAATGTTTTTATTGTACACTGACCTAAAGGTAAAAATAAAAAATTTCATAGAAAAATAAACAGTAGAGTCCTGTTTACATATTTATTATATTTTAGACTGTATTCTTTAAACACACACATACACATACACATAATAATAATAAATATATTTATAAGATTTCTACTGTTTTGATAAAATAATACAAATATGTGTATATATATATATACACACACATTCGTTTCATTTTTTCGTAAAAAAAATTGATATGTGTAATATGTTGTACCCTCTTTGAACATATAGAGGTAATTTCACATTGGGATGTATTGTCATCAGCCATCGCTGAGAGCAGTAGGGAAAATATCAACAGGAATGAGCGTGAGGTTCTCCTTCCTGGCTTACCCTGACATCAACGGAAATGATCGGAAATAACAGAAATAACGCTATTGCTTGAACGTGCCTCGACAGTGTCTCGGCACTCTTGGTCTCGAGACCGATCGTCATGGATATGACACTCACGCGCGATCACAATCCACACATATGTGCACACGCATTCACGCATGCAGGCAGGCAGGTACACACGCACGCACGCACACATTAACGGTGCGAACGTATATAGCGAAATCGTAAGAACGACGCGTTTACCTTGCGAGCAGGACGATCGCGTTATGCTAATAAGCCGCGTCGCACTCGCTCGGATTTTCAGCCGGACGCTAATTAACAATGAGCGTAATAGAGACAGTGAAGTACGCGAAACCACGAGTATCACGAACGAACTGGTACGGCCGCCATTACTCTTACATGGCATGGACTCGCTCAATTTCTTTTTCCGAGCGAAAGTTGCCGACGATCTATGAGGAAAATCAGGGAAACGACGCGACAACGGGGATCACAATCGTACTTACGTGCGATGTATGTCCTGTAACGTCGCGGGAAGCCTCGATGTTGTTCGCATCAGGAACTAATTGAATTCTGGCTCGCTCATAAAGGCCTAGCTCGACCGAATGCCGTGGAAGCCATTAACCATTAGCACGTCGTTTCTGCGTGACGTAATGTCTTCGCGACGTCGGTGTCGCCGCGTAGTGGCGCCGCGTAGTGGCGCCAGAAAAAACGCCAGAAGATTACTGGGAAGAGATGCTAGAAATCTAGAAAAATTTCACATTACCTGCGATTAGAGTCTCGTATATAAAAGAAATCCGACATCGAACATCAGACCTCCATTAAAGTTTGGTGATTTGGATCCCCATCTCCACATAACGATACATAACGATTGAACAACAAATTACAGAATACAGGGACAGTTCAGAAAGCCGAAACAAGCGATTATTGAGTGGCTGCGAGTTCTGATTGGCTGCCTTTTTTCTACTTTATACTTTTCTGCCTAGGTTTGAATCCACCTTTAGAATATAAAATATTCTATTGTGCATAATGGCGGCAGACTAAAACTAGAATCAAGTGCTTGCTCCAAAGTTAATGAAATGCACTGAATGCATTAGCGCTTCTCTAATAAGAATTAGGACACCTGTCTCAAGCGCGTGCGCGTCCGCCATTAAGGGGAACATGATTATAAGATAGAGTGAGAAAACAACAAGCTATTTTAGTCATGTCTTATTATCGCTTTCATTCCCTGAATATGGCGGAACCAATAAAAAATTATTACTCGATGTCCTAAAAACTGTGACACAGATTTTTGCATAACGCATAACATATAGTGAATAAGCGAATCAACCAATCCAAATCTTTTCTTTCCTCCCAAAAATAAATATACGTAAATATACGTTTACATGTCACCATTATAGAGGTTATAAGGACGTAAACTTTAGGATTTTTTGTTTCAGATTCGATTAAATTTCAACAAATAATAGTAGTAATATTATTATTTGTTGAATTATAATAATAATTAATTAATAATAACTACATTCAAAATAAATACATACAAATCAAGGTTTAAATATATATTATGAACGCGAGTATGGCATGGTAGACAGCGCACTGGTCTATCATGCCAGAAATTCGAGCCGGGTTCGATCCCAATAGGAACCAAAATATTTACGTTCGTGTCTCCTTTCGGAAGAAGCTGGCAATCTCCCAAGAGTATTTTTACCTACAGAAATATCTCTCGAAAAATCCGCCGTTCGGAACCGGCATTAAAACTGTAAGTCCCATATGTTCGTGGCAATTGAATAATCAACCGTACGTACCACAAACATATATGGTAAGAGATGTAGCACAGGCTAGAGCCCTAATGTAAGAAGAAAAAATATACTATATTCAAATTATTATAATTTCCGTTTCTACTGCTATTTTTATCGTTAGGAGCACGTTCGTATAATTGATGTTCTAAAACGTATCAAGCCAATAAACAAAATTTAGTTCAGTTTCTGAGTTAGACATCGAGTTTCGTATGAATTTGACTTCAAATAATTTCATAAATTACGAATTGTCACAAGATCAGTATTAATCTCTTTTTTTAAATATATAATACTTTTATACATTTGTTTCATAAATTTTTGGGCTCAAACGACATCATGGAATATAAAGACATACAAAAAAACTTTTCGAAGCACGGGAGTGTTTGTCGAATGGCGGCGACCAATCCGCAGCTTGCACACGCGTCGTCTTATCCCTTACTAGAGGATCCCTATTGTGTACTATCCTTGTTTAACATTGGGCGAATAACAAAGAAAAATTATGACTAATGGCTTATTGTTGAATGGCCATTAAATAGGGAGCTCAGGCTCATGCATAATACATAATGCATAGTGCATAAGAAAATCATCCAATAGAAATTCTCCTTTTCCGTGAAATGGGAGGAAAGAAAAGATTTGGATTGGTTGATTCGCTTATTCACTTTATGTTATGCGTTATGCAAAAATCTGTGTCACGGTTTTTAGGACATCGAGTAATAATTTTTTATTGATTCCGCCATATTCAGGGAATAAATACGTATATATTTACCTACTAAAATAGCTTGTTGTTTTCTTACTCTATCTTATAATCATGTTCCCCTTAATGGCGGACGCGCACGCGCGTGAGACAGGTGTCCTAATTCTTATTAGAGAAGCGCTAATGCATTCAGTGCATTTCATTAACTTTGGAGCAAGCACTTGATTCTAGTTTTAGTCTGCCGCCATTATGCACAATAGAATATTTTATATTCTAAAGGTGGATTCAAACCTAGGCAGAAAAGCATAAAGTAGAAAAAAGGCAGCCAATCAGAACTCGCAGCCACTCAATAATCGCTTGTTTCGGCTTTCTGAACTGTCCCTGTATTCTGTAATTTGTTGTTCAATCGTTATGTATCGTTATGTGGAGATGGGGATCCAAATCACCAAACTTTAATGGAGGTCTGATGTTCGATGTCGGATTTCTTTTATATACGGAACTCTAATCGCAGGTAATGTGAAATTTTTCTAGATTTCTAGCATCTCTTCTCAGTAATCTTCTGGTGTTCTTTCTGGCGCCACTACGCGGCGACACCGACGTCGCGAAGACGTTACGTCACGCAGAAACGACGTGCTAATGGTTAATGGCTTCCACGGCATTCGGTCGAGCTAGGCCTTTATGAGCGAGCTAGAATCCAATCCAAAGAAAACACATGAGACATGATGCGATCGGCCGATAGAACCATAAAAATATGATCGCCTGAACTCTGTACGATCACGACAGAGATTCATTTCTGGCCGGGGACATCGGTCGTCCGCGAATTACGTGCTGGAACTTGTTTGCGCGAAGAGGAAAACGACGTAACCATTACGCATTCTCATCGACCTTTCGTCATTGGTTTCGGCCCTGATGCGAACAACATCGAGGCTTCCCGCGACGTTGCAGGACATACATCGCACGTAAGTACGATTGTGATCCCCGTTATCGCGTCGTTTCCCTGATTTTCCTCATAGATCGTCAGCAACTTTCGCTCGGAAAAAGAAACTGGGCGAGTCCGTGCCATGTAAGAGTAATGGCGGCCGTACCAGTTCGTTCGTGATACTCGTGGTTTCGCGTACTTCACTGTCTCTATTACGCTCATTGTTAATTCGCGTCCGGCTGAAAATCCGAGCGAGTGCGACGCGGCTTATTAGCATAACGCGATCGTCCTGCTCGCAAGGTAAACGCGTCGTTTCTTCGCTATATACGTTCGCACCGTTAATGTGTGCGTGCGTGCGTGTGTACCTGCCTGCCTGCATGCGTGAATGCGTGTGCACATATGTGTGGATTGTGATCGCGCGTGAGTGTCATATCCATGACGATCGGTCTCGAGACCAAGAGTGCCGAGACACTGTCGAGGCACGTTCAAGCAATAGCGTTATTTCTGTTATTTCCGATCATTTCCGTTGATGTCAGAGTAAGCCAGGAAGGAGAACCTCACGCTCATTCCTGTTGATATTTTCCCTACTGCTCTCAGCGATGGCTGATGACAATACATCCCAATGTGAAATTACCTCTATATGTTCAAAGAGGGTACAACATATTACACATATCAATTTTTTTTACGAAAAAATGAAACGAATGTGTGTATATATATATATATATACATATTTGTATTATTTTATCAAAACAGTAGAAATCTCTTATAAATATATTAATAATTATTATGTGTATGTGTATGTGTGTGTTTAAAGAATACAGTCTAAAATATAATAAATATGTAAACAGGACTCTACTGTTTATTTTCCTATGAAATTTTTTATTTTTACCTTTAGGTCAGTGTACAATAAAAACATTCTTTTATAATTAATATATTATGTGTCTGTATATATATATATATATATATATGTGTGTGTGTGTGTGTATGTATATATATATGTGTATATGTATATAATTTTATTGAAATATTTGCTTTATTTATATAGGAGGTGACATGCCTAGCACTCGTGAAATTGAACGGGCAGAACGTAATGGGAGATTTCGTTCACGAAGAAGAGGCAGTACGAGCAGCGACGTGAATCGCCACAGCTTTGATGGTATTGACAAGCGACACAGGAGACATGGCAAAAGTAAGAGTTCTGGAAAAAAAAAGAAGAAACGTTCACGAGATAAGTCATTAGAGACAATTCCAACTGTAGCTTCATCTGTTGTAAAACCATTGGTCGAGTATTCCGACGTAAGTAGCGAAGATCTTTCAGAGCCTGAAGCGGGAGAGATACAATCGGAAGATAGTCGTGCCAACAGTTACACGGACGGAGAAGTACCTGATTCGTCATTTCTTCAAAGGCGATATTATGGCAATAGCCCAATTCGTGCTCTTGGAGCGTCGCCTATCAGCATATCTCCAACACCATCGGTTCAGCATCGACATTCCGATATGCGATATTCCTTGTCGAATGAGCAACAACAATCGACGACGATGCATGGTGCGACACCAGAGTACGAAGAAGAATCAAGGCGATACGCTCGACGAAAAGAAAAGAAGCATAAACGTGAGAAGAAGAAGAAAAGAAGTCTGAGCCCTTCGTCAAATTCAGGGAAAAAGAAGAAGAGGAAATCTAAGAGACATTCTCATAGCTTAAGCCCGCATCACGGTATTGCTGAGGAAATTGGTTCAAGTCCAAGTCGTGAAAAACAATCAATTATCGCTTCTGTTAATTGGTCCGAATCACCACCATTGCCACTCAAGGACAACATGTCACCTATTTCACCGGCTACACCGCGCGAACAGAGATGTCCTAGTGACGACGTGGAATTGGAATTGTCGAGGCAATCTCGCAACGTGACACCACCGTCTCTTTTATTGACGCGGCAGATAGAATCTCCGCATACACCTTTAATGCCTCCATGCGCCACG